GTTGCTCTGATCTGTGCCCCCTTCTGACCCCGCCCTGTCTGCCCACCCCCTCTGTGCCTGGCTGGGCGCTCTGGTCCCACCCTCCTCCACGCGTCTTGGACTTCAGTGTCCGTGTGGGGTTCGGCTGCGTGGGACCTCCCCTCTGGGGTGTGCTGGGTCTTCTGGTCACTTTGTCACACTGACCTCGGCCTGAGCCTCGGGGCTGACCCCTGCCCATCGCCGCCCTGCTCGCAGACCTGCTGGACCCTGACTTGTGCCGTCCCACCTCCTCACAGAGGCCCAGCCCACCTGAACCCCCACGCACCTGGGGCGCGGGTTCCCGCCCTCTCTTGCTGTGTCCTTGGGGCATCTTCTAGTCCCTCCTCGGCTACAAGCTGCCCCCTGGAGATGAAAAGCTGTGCGCTCCTCAGCTGGGTCTGCCTGATCCCCAGGGTCACCCCCACAGAGCAGGGGCCAGACTCTGGGAGCCTCTGGGAAGTGTGGCCTCAGGGTCAAGGACATTCCCAAGAGGGGCAGGGGCGGGCCACCTCGGCCCAGAAGGTGCTAAAGTGTTCCTACTTGGCGTCCACCGGGGAGGGGCCCGGGGAGGGGCCGCATCTTGGTTCTTTCCCCCGTGTCTCCGGGTTGGGGGCTTCAGGACCTTTGGGGACCAGGGAGCCACACGGAGCCTGCCTCTACCCACTGCCCAGGATGGCAGTCTGGCAGCTGGCAGGGACCAGCCCTCTGTGTCCCCACCTGGGGGTCTGCACGTTTGCCGTCCCTGTGGCCCCCGGGGTTGTGACCAAGGGGACTGATACCTGACTCTGGAGATGCTATCATCACCAGGGACCGGGTTCCAGCCCGAGGTGCTGTGTCCTCTGCCGAGGGGGTGGTGGGGGGGGGGGGGGGGGGGGTGCTGGCCTGCTCTCCTTGCTAAGAAACACGAGCCAGATCTGTGGTGTGGTTCCCGTGGACGGTTGCCACGGCCAGCCGGTCTCGGGCATGTGGTGCCGCTGTTGGCCGACCCCCAGGGCCAGACGGGAGCCCGCGGCTGCCTCCGAAGGTGTCTCTAGCACTTGTTCAGCGGTTCAGCGGTGCAGCCGTGCTCCGGCACCCCAAGCGGGAGGGACAGGAGGGCAGCCGTGTTTACCGTGTGCTCACACTGCTGGGGTGGGGTCAGCAGGAGCCCCAGGGGGCCCACGTGTCCTGAGCTGGGGGGCAGGAACCCCGATGAGGCCCAGCATGGCCCCCATTTCTCCCCTGGGTGCATCTTCAGGCCTTCAGCACTGACCTTGGGAAACCACACGCATCCAGGAGACATGGGCAGGCCCGGGAGCAGAGGAACCTCAGAGCCGTGTCCCTCGGGGAGGGTCTCAACAGGGCGGGGAAGGCACAGCCGGTAACACGCCAGGGGTCCCACACCCTCGGCGCCGGCCCAGACGTCGAACTGTCAGGACGGGTGATGGCAGCCCTTCCTTCCGTCACCTTTCATTCCTGTCACAGAAAGTTGCCTCCACGCTACTGCGCACAGGCATTTGCACATATATGCACACACGCACTCACAGCCCACACTCGTGTGCACAGAAGCACATACACGCACACGGCTCCCAGGACACATGTGTGCACGTACGCAGGCATGTGTGCTCACAGGTAGAACTCAGGCTCTCCACACCCCCGGGGGTGGGGAGGTGGCTCACTCCGAGGATGGGTGCCCTCCTGCGTGCAGGAGGCGTGGGCAGCCCGCCACCCAGGGAGTGGGACGCGGGCCCTGGTGTGAGCACCCGCAAGGGAACCCCATCTGGTTGCAGTCCCCGTCCCAGGAGGCAGGGCGTCAGCCGCTCAGAAGCTTGGGGCCAAGGCTCGGCCCCCGGCCCCTGGGCACAGAGGGCTCCACATCGCAGAGCCCAGGGCTCCCTGGGACCCCCCTGGCGTCTCTGCCCCGGCTCGCATCGGCGGGGGGGG